GAGCTCCGACGAGGCACATCGCCAATAAGATGAGAAGGCTCTGGAACACGGTGAGAAGCCTTATCAGAGATTTTCTGGTGGTAATGTGCACCTCCAATTCTGGCAGCCTGAGTTGAGGAGGAGAGTAGTCTTGTAGAGGAAGGACCTGCAGATGGCGGAGGAAACTGTCTTCCACGACCAGAGCGGAGTGAATCAGAGTGATCCTTGGGAAGAAGAAGAGGATGATTTTGACGTTCCCCTCTACTTGGGAGCCTAGGGAATCTTTGTTTCTCTTCAGCGAGTAGAGACTGTCTCTTAGAGGCATCTAGCAAAGGACATGTCTCTAACTCATGACAAATGCGCCGACAATAAGTGCACCACCGATAGAGCTTTTCGTAGAATAGCTTTACTTTCACCACTTCACCTGTGGGAAGCTGAGCATTCTTGTTAAAGCGAAACAGAGCATCTACCTTGACAGAGATTTCAAACCGACCAGTAGAAGAGTCCACTAGATGCACCACTCCAAGGGTACTGGCAAAATTCCTGAGAGCTTCTTCCTCCCAAAACTCAGCAGGGAGACCTTCAGATCTGACCCAAAAGGTCATGTTTTCCGGGAAAGACGGACCATAGTTTGGTGCCCATCTCTCAAGCGCAAACGACCACTTGTTAAAGTGACAAGGGCGTTTGTTGAGGATCTTTTGAAAATATGCTTCAGAGTTGAAAAAGAACTGAAACCTAGATTCACCTAAGGAGACACCTCTAACACTTCCTTCAACATCCCAGATGTGTTCCTTAGGGAGGAGTGAGACAAGAGCGTCGATACTTCGTCCGCCTTGATGAAACATGCGACCCACCAGACTCAAGTTAAGCCGGGCTAGGAGAGCAGAGTTATCCACCTGTGGAAGAACAAACACATCCTCTTCGTCCTCGGGTTCAAAGGCAAAGGGAGCTTGTCTTGGAGGAGAATCTCTATACCAGCTTGGTCTCTCTCTCTTGGTCATTGTTGGAGAGGAGAAAAAACAGAGGAAATGCAATATCTTAGCTTAAGAGCTAGAAACAGCGAGAAATCACTGCTAATGTAGGAAGGTCTTCAAAGGAAAATAGAGTACTTGAACTTCACCAGCTGAGCAGGGAGTACAGAGAGGGAGAGAAGAAAACAGAGGAGGGGGAAACAGAGGCAACGGTGGAGAAAAGATGAGGAAAGGGGGTTACAAAAGCGTCCATCGGAAGACTAAGGTCAAAATACTTTAGCTGGAGAAGGAGAATTGCCCAAAATAGTTAAAAAAGGTGGGTTAGATCTACCCAATTTGAAAACATGTTCTTCTTTTAGTTATTTTGGTAATCGAGCCTGAGAGAGAATTCTAGAGAGAGAATTCTAGAGAGATGAATAATTACAAAATATTGATTCCATTGGTTATTGTGATTCTCAGCTAGTTGTAAACCAGTTTGCTGGAGATTACGAAGCTAAGGCTCCTCGAATGGAAGCATATCTTTTGGCTGTCAAAAAATTAGCCGGAAAATTCAAAGAATTCGAATTAGTTCGAATCCCTCGTGGAGAAAACACTTCGGCAGACGCTTTAGCTGCCCTAGCTTCTACCTCAGATCCCGAGCTCAAACGAGTTATCCCAGTTGAATGTATTTCTTCGCGAAGTATTTCGGTTGAAGAAACAGAAAACGATAACATTTTGGAGGCCGAGCATATCGAAACTCCAAAATTAAGTTCCGGAAATGAAAATAGTTCATTTGTCGTCACCAGATCACGAGTAAAATCTCAAGATGATGAACTTACTTCACCACTGGAACTTCCTAAAAGAAAGCCAAGAAGAAAATTAAAGGATCAAGAGGTTCCCGCTAAAGAACCGTCTCAAACTGAACAGACACCTCCAGGTGATGAAGAGGTTCGGGAAACAATCGAAGATCCTGATATTCCTTCCGAACCCGAACCAAGGAAGTTTATATTCAAGGATAATACTTCCGCTAATGATTGGGGGGCTGACTGGAGGGTACCCATCAAAAATTTCATTCTTAATGGAGAACTACTATCGAACAAGTGGCAAGCTCGCAAATTAAAAATCATCAGCGCTAAGTATTGTATAATTAAAGAGTCATTGTACAAGAGAGGCGTCAATGATCCTTATCTCTTATGTTATGGGCATATCGAACAACCCCGAGACGAGCAACGGGAGAAACTCCATTCTCATTAGTATATGGGATGGAAGCAGTAGTCTCAGCCGAGCTGAATGTTCCTGGTTTGCGCCGGAGCAAAGCTCCACTTAACGAAGGACTAAATTCTAAGTTATTAGAAGACGTTCTTGATACAATCGATGAAAGGCGAGATCAATACCTTATTCGACTTCAAAACTATCAACAATTGACCGCTCGATACTATAACTCAAAGTTGAAAAACAGACCTTTAAATGTAGGAGACTTTGTTTTAAGGCGAGTGTTCGATAACACAAAAGAAGAAGGAGCTGGAAAACTCGGTATTAACTGGGAAGGCCCTTATCAAATCACAGAAAAGATCTGAAATGGTGTTTATCGTTTACAAGACCTTGACGGAACATCATCAACTTGAAAAAGTTCTATTGCTAAAGCAAACACAATCGAACTACGATTTGGCTTGATCATATTTTGGGTACGTAGGCAGCTCGTTAAACACGAGTCCAGCTATAATATAAAAATAAAAATATTATTCCAGTCATGGAGTCTTGTTTTTATAAATTCAATATTCGAGCATGAATAGAAAAGTACGTTGCTAACAATGTATAAATAAATATTTCTAGATAAGCTAGAACCAGATCTAGAAGGGTCTTGAGTTACGGAATAACTCTGCTCCTTGACCTGCGAGGTCAACGATGCTCATAATACAACCTGGCATGTTTCCGTACTCCTGAAGTCCTAGTTCGATCCAATCGGAAGGATGGGCTTCGAGGCGATGAAGCTCACGAGCAATATCGAGGCAACGCTTCTCTAGTTCCATTATCCTTTTCCTAATCTCTTTTTTCTCATCTTCGAGCTCGTCGTGCCGAATGATAAGCTGAAGAAAGTAAAACGCTTCGTTTAGCAATAACAAAAAGAGTTAAATCACTAGGATGAATAATACCTTGGTGATAAACTCCTCGGACTTGACATGATCTTGAGCTGACAATCTCTCGATTAATACGATCGGAACCTGAATGCTAGTTTCCTTCCTCAATATTCGTGACTCTTCCGGTTCGCCAGATCCTCCCGCTTTTGTAAGCTCGATATCTGACGTTCCCGGAAGATCAACACTCATCACTTTGAACGAGTCGGAAGGATTCTCTGAAGAATTACCTTCTTCGAACATTTTTGCAGAATTATTGTTGGTAAAATTCAATAATGAATTACACCCGCTTTATACTCAAAAAAAATACTCGACCACATTTAAGAGGGTTAATAGCGATTTCCCAAATCTGAAATGACGTTCCCGGAAGATCAACACTCATCACTTTGAACGAGTCGGAAGGATTCTCTAAAGAATTACCTTCCTCGAACATTTTTGCAGAATTATTGTTGGTAAAATTCAATAATGAATTACACCCGCTTTATACTCAAAAAAAATACTCGACCACATTTAAGAGGGTTAATTGCGATTTCCCAAATCTGAAATTACTACTTTCGTGGAAAATGTAAATCGAGTTAATTGCTAATTATATTCCCTAGATTTAACGCATTAAATAAGATTTGAGTAAATCGGCAAATTTAAAGCAAAAGGGGAATGTAATTAATATCGCCGGGCCTCTAGCCCAGTAGCATTGTTACAAAAAAAAAAAAAAAAAAAAAAATCAAGGGGCTTGTTCGATCAGAAGTCTTCGCCCGATAACGATTCCAGCGAGGTGGACGATCCCGAACAACTTTCTGAAGAAAGTCCCTCGTCGGAAGATAAATCGAGGAGGCTGTGAGAAGGATCAATAGGCTTCTCCTCCGTTCCTTCATTTTCTTCAGTTCTTAACATCGGAAATCTCTGAAATTCTGAAGAACACGAAACAAAAGAGGATCCGTCGCCGGTTGCCAAGGATAGATGAAAAAATTTATCCAGCATGCGGAGGAATCTTCAGAGGCAAGTAGGAATAATGGCCACGATTCCTCTCCCATTCATGCGGTTCAGATTCCAGGCGAAGGATCTCTCTTTCCATCCTCTTTATGCGATCATCAAGAGCACGGCGCCTCCTTCCGATTCTTTTTCTCTTATCACATAAAGCTTTATGTCTCCCGACGATCTGTTTTAACAAACATTTTGTCAACTGTCCGAAAAATAATTAATTTACAGTCTTCCTAAAAGACTAAAAATTAGAAGGAAAACCTTTTCCAAGAAGTCATAACATTTGACCCTTTCTTTACCCGTTCGGAAATGAAAAAACGTTGGATGAATTACTCCCTTTGGAGAGAATCCATCTTCTGATTCAAACAATGGATCCCTGTTTGAAGTCGTTATCCTTGAACTTGATCTGAAAGAAGATAGCGGCATATTTCAGTTTATTTTTTCTTATAATAAACTGTGATAGTCTTTCAGAATCCTTTTAAAGGAGAAAGGTCTTCAGTTTTCTTTAAATAATAACCTATTGCGGGCCTGCTAGAGCAGACTTTGGGTCCAATTAAAATATGGTCCAACACTTTCAAAGTCGTCTTTAGGCCATGATCGAAACCATTGCCTGGTCATTTTTATGAAAAAATTCTCATGAATTATAGAAACCTTATCCCTCGATAAAAAGCCTAAGCCGAGCCCCCATCCTCGCATCCGAGAGACCGGGGAAAAATACTTGTTAAAGATTTTTTCTTTAAAAAAGGCGAGTGAGCCTGATCAGCTCATCTCTCACAATTCATAAAACCTCTTTGGTGGGTTAGGACTTGCAAACCTAGAATCGCATCCAAACGTTTTACTTAAATAAAAAAAAAATCATATGCAGGAGCATGTACATGATTGTGTTCAGTCACACTAGTTAAAAACAACACATTTCCGTCAAACGGAGTAGTCTTCATGGATTCAACGAAATAATTTTTTAAGAGCGTTCCTCTGCCTCAGGAGAACCCTCGTATGGGCGAGAACCTTCACCTACCTCGAATTGAGAGGGGGAATCTCCAAATACCAAAAAAAATTGTTTCAGATCGAGAGTAGGACGGGAAGCCGAGGATAGCTTGAATTCAACCGCAGCGAGTTCGGCAGCAACTTCTCTCCTCTCGCTCTCGAACGAAACTCTTCCATTCTCTAGTTCCTCAATCAGGTCTAGATTGCTCTTCAGCTCGGCTCGATCGGTTAGAAGTTTAGTCCAGACCTCTTCGTCTTTGGTGAACTTCGTAACAGATTGAATAAGTTGCCTACCAAATCCCCTCATCTCTTCTCGAACGTTATGTTCGGCTTCAGCGATATCGCGAGCCCTATTCCTAGTTAAAAGCTCGATCTTTTGATTCGCTTCTTCGAACAAAGCCGTAGTCTCTTCTAGCTCAGCCTCCAAGCGAAGAGCATTAGACCTCGCAGAATCTCTTTCAGCGTTCGCAATTCTGATACGTTGCTCGTCAGCTGCTAGAGTTTTCTTCATATTCTCAAAAGATGACTCGAGGGCTTTCGCCTGCTCGAGTCGCTCAGAATGATTGACTGATCTAAGTTCATCAACCTCCTTCTTAGCCTTTGCGGCCTTTCTCATCGCTTGGTGAAGGAGGTTCTCATAATGGAAGATCATTCCATTAGTCTCCATAAACGCCTTCGGAGTAAAAAAAAAAAGGAAAAAAAACGTGTCATTAAGACAAAAAGTTTTTTTTTTTTACTTAAGAAAAAGGGGTTGTCATAATCAAAATCTAAAAGATCCGAACCTGGGATAGGTAGCATGCTCGGTTGACGTACATCTGACGGACTTCCGGCCTCCAAACCGAAAAAGGGGGAAGGGATGCCCCTTCCCTTGTCTGAAAACTTTGGAAGATGTCTCCAATCTCTTCTCCGCCCACAGAGGAGAATAACAGATTGATAAAATAGCTGCAATCTGGAACAAGTCTTGCTAATGCTCGCTTTCTAAATAAAAACTTACCTGAAATCGAAGCGGGTAAAGGATTTTGAGTCCTAACACTCAGTCCTTGAGACAAGGGAGCCTCCGGTCTCGGCTCATCAATTTCTTCTGGAATTTCTCTGTCTCCCGGAAGAGGGAGCTCAGAATCTAAAAGTATCGAAGAGGGAAAAACAGAATGCAGAGGGCTTGGGACTCGTGGCAGAGAACTTAATCTCACTGTTTTGAGTCTCTCGTTTGATAAAGTATCCGAGTCTGGAGCCTTCCTCTTTGTACAAGGAGAAGAAGTTACTTCTCTCTCTCCCTCTTGTGCGGAAGGGCAAATAGCGGTGGCAACTGGAGGGTCGTTAGGAATATCGGCTCCATGAGAATCCACCGCAGAAGACAAAGCCGCTTCTAAAGAACCATCATAAACCAAGAGGGTCTTCCTGTGGAAGTTACCAACCCTGGAGATTGCAGCTATCCGCTTCTTTTTCCCAATTTCGGATAACTGATCCTTAAGAGCTTTAGTCTCGGCGAGCATTTTTCGCTTATCCCGAGCATTCAGGCTCGAGGCGTCTTTTTCTTCAGTAGGAGGATCGAGGGGGTGAATTTGACCATCTTTGATAGCGAGCCCCGCTTTATGAATACGTTGAAGGGTGAAGGAATTCCAATTTGTTTCACCCTCAGAAACGATTCGAAAGAAAGATAAGAAGTCAACAGTTGGGCGGGGGATCGTCTGGTTCCCTGAAACAAAGTGTTGAGTTGAGAATTCTATGTCTTTCGCACAAAAACAGTGAAAGATAATAAAAGATGATTCTAACCAAGTTTGGGCGACCAATTTGGGAGAAGAAGACCGGAAAGCCCTTGGACGGAATGAGGATTAATTCTGGATTGAGTGGAAAAGGGATATATGAAGTCATTTAGGGGCATTTCGTCGATGAGGTTACGGTCAAAAATAGGATTCATGGAAAAAATACCCGCTGCCGCAGAATCACGGGCTCGAAATAGCCCTAAGAGTTTGCTGGTGGTGAGAGAAAACCCTGCCTCCGCCGAGACGGTCAGGGTGCTCAGAACGTACCGGAGGAAGTTGGGAGCCATTTGGGGAAAAGCAATCCCTAGATGAAGGAGGTACAGAAGGAGAACTTCCGGTATGGGAAAAAATAAATCACAACCTTTGAAATAGACTTCGTATGCATAACAATAACCCTCTCGCACCATTTCCGGAGACTCGTTGGGTCTAGGAAGAGAAAATTCTATTTCCTGAGGAATGTTACAAACGCGACGAAGAGCGCCAAGGGAAGCATGGGTCGATTGAGACCTGAAATGCGGACCGAATTTATCTCCTGTCTGGGTGAAGACTTCGTCCCCTCTGGGAACAGGGATTTCTTGGCTGTCATCTTCATTGTCTGAAACGTAGACGGCTGGGGAAGACATTTTTTTACTAAGAAACTTTTCTTTCTCTGGTTTGGTAAAAGCTTTCAGGGTGAATGTACGCTGTAAAAGCCGTCGTTCCATTTAACCCTATTTAGCGGAAAACTGCCACGAGAATATTGGGAAGTGGGACAGTTTTCCCCGCAGTATTAATATAAAATTAGAAAATTAATGATGACGGTTGTCAGGAAAATCAAATCACTTGATTAACCGAGATCGGTGTAATAGCGTAAAACATGGAATAATTCCAGAGTGTTAAGGATCTCAATTCATTAATTACTGTTTACTTAAGTCTTCCAAGCCGAGCACTCAGCTCGCAAGACTTGGGAGGCTAAATGTTGGGGTCTGATCCCACACATCTTCGGTAGGATCCACTTGGATCTGTCCACGTCATTATTACATAATAATCCTCTTGGAATTAAAGATATTTTATTATGAGAATCGAGCTTAACCAGTCGAGAGTTTGGTTCGGTCCAGTAAAAGAGGCCGATCCTTGCCATTATGGAGTTCGCTCTTATTCAACAAACAGTTCGCATAGAGAAAGGCCGAAGCGAGGAGAATATTGTTCGAGGCTCGCGGTAGCGTCAAGACGCAGGAGTTCGGAGTCAACAAGAAAGATTTCGGAAGATCCACGCGAAGCCCAAGATAGTTCGAATTCAAGCCGTTTCGGTCAAATTGTAACTTACATGATTAATGCGGATCAATGCGATTATGAGCAGTAAATGACCGCATTGATCATGTTTTCTCTATAAAAACAACCTCAAACGCATGTGTTTGGGAGGGCAAATCTCATTCTTCATTACTTCTAAGCAATACAATATACTTTCTCTCTTTACTACTTTCGCAAGGCATTTTATACTTAAATCTTGTCAAATTTCTTTACTTCTTTTCTTGGTTGATTTCCTTTTCGAATTTTCATATTCATTTCCTGATTTTACAAGAGTTTTTCTCCACTGAAATACTTAAAGATAATCGAGTGTGAATCCTACATCCACAACGTGGATTAATTATGTTTATGATTAGAGATTTGTAATGGGAAGATTAAAATGAATGACGTGGATTAAATATGTTTATGATTAAAGATTTGTAATGGCATATAATGTAATTTCTTACACTTCTTATTGTTACAACTTATTGATGTACTTCCCAAATAATAGTATACGATAATTAACATGCTGTGTAGTGTAAATATTTTTGATAAATATTTTAAAATTTAAAATGAAATAGTTGAAAAAGAATTGAAATAGTAAAATTTATATAATTATAAAATTAAATTATAAATTATAAGTGAAATAGTTAAAAATGATAGATATTGGACTGTACGGGCTTATTATCCATGTCCGAAACTGGATGTTGTTTATAAAAACCTCATTGAGAGGTACAGTGTTTGATTACCTACCAAAATCTTATTCAGATAAACATATTAGCTATGATTATTTAGATTAGCCACACTCTCCAGATTAGCTATCATTAAGGAGAAAAACAAAGAAGACAGAAATTCATTACTTAATCTGAGAACCTGCCTCAACGTCACACATCTCACCCTTAGTGGGTGTAAGCTCCCTAAACATTACAAACAAAAACGTAACTATTTAAGCATAAGAGAGTACCAAATTAGCAATCAAGATTTATTCAAAAAGAAAGAAGACTTACATGTCATTAAGTGAGAGTGTAACCTTGCCTTGGTTAACTTTAAAACCCACCTTTTCCTCCTGATAATCTCCAAGATCAACCAGCTGATCTTTGGGGATCGAAATCACACTAGTTTTTTTGTCCACCTTAGTGACAACCCTGAACATCAGGGACAAAAACGTCAATATCTAAACGTCAATGTCTATGTTTTGCTTTTGCACTATTTTGATGATCCCGTACAAAATGTTCACGTTTTGGTAGTAATATGAACAAATGTATTCATTTTATAAGTTTGGAATGGTAGCAGCGTGTCAGATAATACATAACGATAAGTTTAAGTAGTGTGATGCGGTTAAGTGGACTATTTTCAAGAAAACACGTTTTCTATGCCAAGATGCAGTTATTTGGTTTTTGAATGATATTGTAAAAGCGACGATGAATAATGTTTCATTGATAAAATAATTAACATGTTGTGTAGTGTAAGTATTTTTGATAAATATTTTAAAATTTTAAAAGTTTAAAAATAAATGAAATAGTAATATTAATATAATTATAAAATTAATTAGTTAATTATAAATGAAATAGTTGTTAAAAATGATAGATTTTGGACTGTATACTATACATGTACGAAACATAAAAACCTCATTTAGAGGCCTTTTGAGACATAAAAAGGCCCATTTGCTTCGGGGAAATCGGTACACATAATGTAAACCGGTACAAACTAAATAGAAATACTGGTTATAATCCGGTCCATAAACCGGTATATACACAGTAACAACCGAACCGGGACTCCATTATCAAAGTATGTGCTTAAGGTCTCTCTTCTCTATCGTTCTTTCCCAAGAACCCTAATCTTCCCCAAATCCTGAATCCATCGTTCTCAAAATTCACAAAGGAACCACCTTTATCGAAAGAAATCGATGGATCATCACAACTATCAATATCAAAATCCTTTCGAGAGACGACCCATCCTTAAATCCAAAGCTCCTGCTGTGAAGTGGATCAAAGAATGGTAATTTTCTGATTCCGTCACTTATGCGTCTGTTAGACTACGGATTCTTACTGTTTATCCTTTGTTTTAGGGTACCACAAGATATTGTTGCTACAGGTGGCAAGTGTTATCTACACAAATGGGTCACAGGTGAGATTTAAAAAATTGTAATGTTTTATCTTATTTTCATGTTTGTGATGTAATTGTATCGTTGTGTTGTTGTTATAGAGGATACTTTTAACAGACATAAAGAAAAAGAGAAAGAGCCTGATGTTCCAGAGCCTGAGCCAGAACCAACTACAGAGATTTTGTTTCTCTGTAGTTATGATGGATGTGGGAAGACTTTCTTTGATGTTAGTGCATTGAGAAAACATTCTCATATTCATGGAGAAAGACAATATGTTTGCGATCAGGAAGGATGTGGAAAGGTTTAATAATTTTATCCTCTTTTTGGTTGGCTTAAACACTCACTTTCATGATATATTGAAGCCATCTTGTTTTGTTTTCTGTAACAGAAATTTCTGGATAGTTCAAAGTTGAAGAGACATCATCTTATTCATACTGGAGTGAGAAATTATGTATGTACTTATGAAGGATGTGGAAAGGTGATTGATTTGATCACTCTCACTAGATTAGTTTATTTGGTATATGATATGTAATTAGGCAAAGGGACTGTGTGTTTCGTGTTATAGTAACTTTCCGTAGATGATGGATGCAGGCATTCTCCTTGGATTTTAACCTCAGGTCTCACATGAAGACTCATTCACAAGAGAATTATCATATATGCCCATACAGTGGATGTGGAAAGAGATATGCTCATGAATACAAACTGAAGAACCACGTTGCTGCCTACCATGAAAAGGTGTCAATACTCATTCGATAGATTGTCATGAAATACGTTTTTTTCTTGTGTTAAGACAGAGCAGCTCATTAGTCAGGGTCTATCTGAGTTCAGGAGAAATTGTGTTGCTTTGTGACTTCACTCTTATTTTCTTGGAAACCCGTGTCTCGTTAGTTTTTACGCTTGGGTGTAGTTTTTGTTTGCTAGAGGTAGGCGTAACTACTATTGTTAAGGTTTCAGTAATCTCACTCGATGCTAACTTTCTTTCTGGAGTAGAGAATTCTAATTGATTAGAAGTCGCATGATTAGAATTTTCTACAACCCTTTTACGGTATCTACACTCTATTAGTAGGTTGAAAGTTTCAGACGACGCATAGGCAGAACAATGCATTGGTTCTTTCATGTTTACATCCTTATAGTATCCATATTTGTAAGCATCTTAGAACTTACCTCTCTCAATTTCACAACCGGTTTAACAGAATGGTGCTGGAGAGACGCCCAAATATACTCCACCTGCAGAGAAAGTATCAAGGACTGTCAAAACACCTGCTGCAGTTTATGGCCCATCTTCGGATCGACCATACGCATGCCCTTACGAAGGGTGTGAGAAAGCTTACATACATGAGTATAAGCTTAAGCTCCACTTGAAGAGAGAACATCCAGGGCATTTACCAGAAGAAAACGCGGATACCCTCACACTGAACAAGCACAACGGCAGTGACAGGAATGATATGGATGACGGGAGTGACCAAGATGTTTACAGGAAACACACTAGTAACGGGAAAAGCCAGACACATAAACAACAGACCAGAGCTAAGCCAAACATGAGGACACCACCAGCCAAAGCTGGAAAGAAAGGTTCAACCTCTTCGCCTGCCAAAGTGAGGATTGCCAAAAAACCATGGCAAGCAAAAGAAACTTTTGAAGAAGTAGAAAGAGAAGAAGAAGAAGATAGCGAGGAGACAGAGGAAGATAGAGATAATGTGGATGACGGCTGGAGGTTTGGCGAAAACAACGAGGAGGATGATGACGATGAAGAGACCGAGTATGAAGACTAGTTTGAGCTTCATCTAAGCCATAGGAGACCTTTTGCTTACGTCCCATCTCTATTTGTGAAGGTGACTTTAGTAGCTTTGTTTCTTGACTCTTCTTCTTTTCGGTTGCCTTATACACTCTTCTTCATTTTAAAGCTTTGTACAGTATTCCTTAACATTTTTGGAAAGCTTTTCTTTTAGTTTTGGTCAACTTTTTGAAAGCTTTTCTTATAAATTACAATATTGAACCCCAACATATCTTCAATGTCGTTTACATGTGAAACAATGTAGGTTTTGAATTATGTCTAATGTAATTTAAGGAAAGAATGTTCTCTTGTTAGGTTATGATGATGGTGAATGAAGTTATCTTAATATTGTTAGTACTGTTTTACTTTATGTAGGTAATGGTCGAATATGCACGGTATTTTTGATTTTTTTAAGAGGAGAGATTATGATTGAGTAGTTAAACAAATTTTTGATATTCTTAAGAGGAGAGATTATGATTGAGTAGTTAAACAACCATTATAAAGTTATTCTCCTTTTTTTTTTTCTAGGTGAGTTCTCTCTTTTGATAGAGAGAGATTGTATTAGAGAATTTTGCGAAATTTGATAAGATGATTGTTGTGGTTGCACATGAAGATCAAGGTTAAACATTAACACAAACAACCCTGCATAATCATTCAATTCAGCGTATCCAATAATTCCTTTGTTAGATAGCATCAGAGAAATGCTAACACGATGGTTTATGAGCGTGGAGAATTAAGTGCAAAGAATCGCGATCCTTTAACTATTGAAGTAGAGAAAAAGATTTCAAGAAGGATAGAGAAAGGTACAACATAACGAAGAAGAAAACGAAGACATGAAACAGTGGAAGACAAGATAAGATCGTCACAAGGATCACAACGTTGTAATAGACACAAGTGCAGCCATTGTGGTAAAGAAGGACCAAACAGATTGACGTGTGATATAGCGATATGAAAACGGTTTGTTTAAAACCTCATGATTTAAATACTACATTAAAGCAAGTCTTAAATTTTTTCAAATTTTTTTTCAACATTGTGCTGGTACTATGATCACTGGCCGTTTTGTTTTTTCTTCCACAAACCGAGACGAACAAGAACAATTGTGGTCGCGGGTTCTCGAGCCCCATGGTGGGCGATTCATCTTTTTGAAAGCATGCTACAACATGGTTTATATCTCTGGATTATCATTTCTACATTTGTTGAGTATATTTTGGATATGTACTACTAATGTTTTTCTTGAATGGCTGCTTCTAGTTATTTGATTTTTGGGCAGTTTGATAGATTACTGATATTAGTAAGAAATACGATCTTAATCATTTATTAATTTCTTGAACTCATGATCGATATAGCTTCTTACTATATATCCTCTTCACTTATTAGATTTTTTTTTCGGTACACTACACAAGCAAAGACCCACACATGATTTAGACGGTAAAAAGAACCCGTAACCAAAATCTGACAAAATCTTAGAAAATGGAGCAAAATGCAGTTTAAAGAAATGAAGAAGCAAAAAATCAAGTGGAGGATGAAAGCAATCGTCTAGTTGGTTGATTAACTGGTCAACTGGGAACTACAAGAAAACAAGCCATTTGTGACTCCCATAAAAGTCGCAAAATGGTCGCAAACTCTTTTGTTGGGACTACTTAGCGACTACTTCAGTTGGTCGCAAAAAAACGGTCACAAAATAAAACAGTCCCAACATAGTCACTAATTTGCGACTACTTTCTGACTTTATGTTATAGTCGTATATAAGCGACTAATATGTGTCTCGATAAGAAGTTACTCATTTCCGACTAAAATGCAACGAGTTTTCTGCATTGGTGAAAAGAAGAGATTATGTCCCAAAGTAGTCGCAAATGAGTCTTTTAATTTTGCGACTAATTTAAGACTATGTGTCTGTAGTCGCAAAGAAGTCTCGTATTTGTTACCATTGTGCCTCGAGTGTTAGAGTTTTTGTAATTTGGTTTGGTCACAAATTGGTCAAACTGTTGTAATTGGTTTGGTCACAATTTGGTGCATATTTTTGCTAATCATAACACTTTATTAATTTCCAAATTTGAAATGCTATTAATCAAAAGTAATTACTATTTAAAAAACTAATCATACCAAAAGATTATCATCCTAATCATACCAAAAGATCATCACCCTAATCAAGTTTACAACACAACGAAAATATGACATCAAGCTCATGAGTTTGAGGAAGTTTTTTTTTCCAGAAGTACGAATTGTCTTCGTCAAGGCTGCTCCATTTCTCCTTATCTATTCGTTATTTGTATGGATGTTTTGTCGACACTCCTAGATAAAGCAGCACTCGAGAAGAAGATCGAATATCATCCCAAATGCAAGAATATCCAATTAACCCATCTCTATTTTGTGGATGACTTGATGATACTTGTGGATGGGCAAAAGAAATCAGTAGAAGGTATTCTCTGTACCTTTGATGAGTTTGCTACGATTTCTGGTCTAAAGATAAGTATAGAGAAATCAACTCTATGCATGGCAGTTATGTCAGAGAAAGACCTATCTGAAATCTTACAAAGTTTTTCTTTTACTCTTTTAAGAACTCATCCTTAAGTTAAAACTTTTGGAAAGCTAGAAACTCATTCTAATTTCTCCTCTCCTCTTAGCTTTCTCTCCCTCCTCTTCTCCTCTATGCACTTTCTCTTCCATGATATGGTAGAACTTTTTACGTTCAATACAACCGATTTCGGAGTATTTGGTGGACAAAAAATTCTCTAAAATCTTTGGTATTCTTCGCAACAGAGTTGATATTATCATTGGTATTTTTCGCAATGTAGAATGGGTTAAATGCATTTTCGTGTATAGGATCGACTAGAAACCGGAGAAATAAAAAGATTTGTTGTTTGATTGGAAAACACTCAAAAAGAGTTTGGACGATGAACCCTATTTAGATATTATGGGAAGAAGATGAAGGGGCTCGATTTTTAGCAATTATGTTTTTTCATTTTACTTTAATTTAAAATGAATAGAGAAAGTGAGTTGTGCCTTCGCAAAAGAAAAAAAAAAAAAAAAAGTGAAAGTGAGTTGTGTATTACATAAATGGAGAGATGGCACCTTAAGTCATAAAGATGATAAATGTTTGGCCATAGTTAGACCATGTACACTCGTAATTTTTTCTCAGTATCATTAGCCCAAATATAATTTTTTAATGGACCAAATCTCACAATTGGACCTCATCCGTATCAGTGGACTCATACCTCTGATACTCAGTATCGGATGACGTGGCAAAAGCTCATTGGACCATAAATGAATTTTTTGGTGATAACAGAGAAAAAAAATCATTTGCTCTTATCGTCTCTTCGCTGCGTCTTGACCCGATTCTTTTTCAATGGAAGCGAGAATCATCCTCCAAATTTAAATCCCTTGGAACCCTAATCGCATATTCTCTCGTACTCCTTTAGATTTCCCGTGCTTTATCAGAGCTTCTTCTTCTTCATGGGGTCACCAGAAGCCGAGAAGTTACAGAGGTCTGTCGTTCTGCCGTCCGTCTAATCTTCCTGCGTCGATAGTCTCGGAATTGTTATGGTAATGCTCTGTCGTCCGTCGTTCTTTCAACACTGTTAGCTCCGGTAAGTCTCTTGATGAATATGTTCTCCTTTCTTTTTCGTCGTTTTATCTTATCGGCGGTGGATTAATTAAGGTCGGAAACGTTATAGATCGGAATTTTCGTTTCTGATACGTTATCGATTTCCGGAATCCTTTCTAATGAATTGATTTCAAATTTGTATTTTTGGTAGAAATTTCGTTGTTAAGGATCTCTCTTTCTTGTTACTTGAGATGTTCTCCGTTGGCTTAGTTCTTGGTTTGAAACTCATTAGTTCTTGGCTGAGCAATTGTTTTATGGCTTGCAATTTAAGGAACATAGACCAATGAAGTAATTAGAGTTCTTTGGAATATGTTTTAAATGGTAGTCAAGGATGGAAGGGAGTTCGGTTTGATTTCAATTTGAAGATGTATGAAGTCTTGGAGAAGTCATCTTTATACTGAAACTTGCAAGGTTTGCAGGCAAAGGCTTGCTTTTTCATGTTGATAATGATGGCTTCTATTGCAGGAGAACGTAATGCCAACTCTTACCATGACTTTGCAACCTATTACTTTCCTTATGGTAGAACTTATGTTAATTTCAAACTTTGAAGACAGTAAATGCTGGTGGGCAGCCAAAATCTGAATCATATGACTTGAAGAAATTCCATGTTAGAGATATGATTATTGGAAGAATCAAACGTGTGGAGCCCTATGGCTTATTCATTGACATTGATCAAACTGGCATGGTAATGATCTAGTTTCATGCAGCAAGGTAATTCCTTCTCCTTTTAGTCTGAAGTGAGTGTGGTTAAGATTTGCTGCAAGATTTGTTGTCACATTCTTGTACTAAGCTCTCATTGTAATACACAAAATATCTCTTTGTCAGGTGAAAGAGAAGACTATAGCTGCAAGATGGAGTCAAGTGAAAATGTTTATATTCCCGGAGGCTAACCGGAAAGATTTTGATGAGCTGGCGGAAAACGTGAAAGAAGTGCTTGATGGAAACAAGGGGTATATGATGCTGATCTACTAAAGAGTTCTTTATTGCTGTTGTTGTTACAAGACTTAAAAACTCTTATCTGTGTTGATTGGCTATGTTTGCAGAAATGTTGAGGCTATCTTTTAGACTTAAAAACTCTTATGTGTGATGATTAGTTCAGGGATTGTCATTTTGGGTCTCACACATAAAAACTATAGAAAGTAAAGCAATAGTGTAGTATGTGTGTGCTTTGTCTAATCAAAGACTGATCAATGATATGTCTGTTCAATTTTACACATTGAAGATGGAGAAGTAGCAGCACACACCAAGAATCGATTGACATGGCAACATGGTCCTTTGTGGTACTCACTGCTTCTGCTCAACTTCACGGCCATTATCACTATTCTCTTTGGTACCTTTGTGGTACTCACTGCTTCTGCTAAGTCTTCTTCCCCTTCCTCCTCCAATGATGATACTGTTGACTATAGCTATTCTGCTATATAAAACACTTTCTACATTCCACTTGCATTTGTATTGCCCCTTGTACTGTCAACACTCCATTTATATGTGATGCATTTGTAGCGAAAGGCTTTGTGTTATACGAGTTTGCTACTTCTGGTGTGTAAAATCTTTGATATTAGTGATGAATTTTTCTTTATTTTCTTTTCATATTGCTATATATCACACAAACTAGCACAAAACATTACATCAACCACAAAACCATGACTTGAATCCATATCTTCTTTTTCTCTACATAACCAAAACACAAAAATTTGATGAAGTGTGTTTATCAAGACTTAATTAAACACCAAACTTCACTTGTCTCTTCTCTATCTTTCTTTTCAAAAATTCAAAACACCAAACACCAAATCCTATGTTTTTATATATTTATTTTCGATTTTGCAAATAATTTTTTTTTATAATACTTAAACCGGTCTCACCAATGGAAACATATTTAGTACCAGTATCATAAAAAATCTCAAACAATAAATAAACATTAAAATTAATACTAAAAAATTGTTAATGATACTCATAAAATATCACCTATGTGCATGTTTTGTTATTTTAGATGGTGTCTATGGTATATTAGAAAACAATAAATGCAATATGACATTTTTGGAAAAGTATTGCACTGATAATTTTCTCGAATTTATATTGATAAAATTGATATAACCCATAACTTCAAGATATAAAATTAATAGAGTCCAGAACTTCGGTTGGTAAAATTTATAGATTCAAAATCTAGAACTTATTTAGGAGAATTAGAAGAAAAGCAGATTTGATAATGAAAGCACCTTCAAATTTTTTGTATATGTATTTTATTATAATTTTATGTCAAAATAAATTCTCGTCATATAGTAGTACATTACAATGATTTTTTCTATATAACTATATTTTCTAATTTTTTTATTTTTATTTTTAGTTTTATTAATAATTGCTGTAAAAAAAATAAAAATAATAATAATAATAAATTAAATATATTGAAAAAATATAATAAAAATTTATTCTTCCATTTGGTTAGTTATTTAATTTATAATAATTTTTAATGTATTGGTGAAACGGAGGGAGTATATTAGCACCACAGTTACCTTTTCTACACCAATCAAGCATCCCAAAAGTCAGAACAAACTAAATGGCTTCCTCTTCCTCTTCTCCGACGCCTAGTGCTACGGCGGCGCTCTCTCCTCTTACGGAGGAGGAACTGACTCTGACAGTTAAATGGAATGGAAAAGAGTACACCGTCCGAATCTGTGCCGACGACTCAGTCGCCGAGTTAAAACGTCGCATCTGCCTTCTCACCACCGTCTTACCTAAACGCCAAAAGCTTCTTTACCCCAAGATTGGAAACAAACTCTCTGACGATTCTCTTTTACTCTCTTCGATCCCCTTTAAGCCATCGCTGAAGATGACAATGATCGGGTTAGTCTCAATTTTTCTCCAATTTCTTAAACCCTAACGCCAATCGATCTAATTGAAATCAATTTTTGGATATTTTAGTACTATTGAAGATGATATAATAGTGGATCAAGCTGAATCTCCTGAAATTGTTGATGATTTTGAGCTTGGTAAGGAAGAAGCTGTGGATATTAAAGATAAAGAAGTCAATAAACAGAAGTTGAGAAGAAGAATTGATCAATACAAGGTTAGTGTTTTTTTTTTTTTTTTGGTATCTATTTGTAAATGATTCAAGCTTATGCCACAATGTGCCATCATTTTGTAGATAAATCTTCGATCGCCATGTCGTAAAGGCAAGAAACTTCTTGTTTTAGATATTGACTATACATTGTTCGATCACCGTTCCACAGCGGAGAATCCATTACAGCTTATGCGTCCTTGTAAGCCGTATACTATAACTGTTTTATGCTTTAGCTAGTTAGTTTTAGCTTCTTTCTCTGATGGATGTTTTGATTACTTAATGCAGATCTTCATGAGTTTCTTACTGCTGCGTATGCGGAATACGATATAATGATATGGTCTGCTACCAGGTGATTTCAATTGTAGTTTTTGTTGCGTTTATTCCGATACATTTTGGTCATATTCCTAGCTTTTCTGATGCTGGAGTTATCCATTTTGGCTCCTGCAGTATGAAGTGGGTTGAGTTGAAGATGACTGAGCTGGGAGTGCTGAACAATCCTAACTACAAGATCACAGCTCTTCTCGACCATCTTGCAATGATCACGGTCCAGTCAGACACTCGTGGGATTTTTGATTGCAAACCGCTAGGCTTAATTTGGGCACTACTTCCTGAGGTATTCATATAACATACATCTTCACTTTGCGCATAAATCTTGATCTATCTTTGTAACTCATAGGTGTTATTCGGACTTGTGCAGTTTTATAATCCTGGGAACACGATAATGTTTGATGACCTAAGGAGGAATTTCGTAATGAATCCTCAAAACGGTCTAACAATCAGACCGTTTAGGAAAGCTCATGCAAATCGTGATACGGATCAAGAGCTTGTGAAGCTGACTCAGTACCTTCTGACAATAGCAGAGCTACATGATTTGAGTTCTCTACACCACAGCAGATGGGAATCATTCTCCCAGGACAACGTCAAAAGGCGCAGACAGGAATGACTTGGCCGCATCCATATTACTCGGTTTTTGTTTAGTTTTCTTGACATACCAAGAGGTTCAGATGTCACTTTTTGCTTGCCTTATATATTTTATGGGTTGGTAGAACGGTCAACATTTTATTAGTAGTTTCGAATGTTAATTTGCTACCGTAACATCAGAACCAAAATATTAATTAAGATGTTCAAATTTCTGATAAATGATGTGAGTTTGGTTACACAAACAGATGAACAAAACAAGCGACAGTTGATACAGAGCTTACATCACTACACGTTTTACAGGAAACATTCTCTTCAGACACAATACAAGCATTGCACAGCCCAAGATTTGAGAGCCCTAGAATGAAGCCAGTTTCGTGATAAGGATTGCAGTCTATTGAGCAGACATGAACAAATGAGTTAATAATATCTTATCATAAATACCTGATGTGCGCAGAGACAGACCAAACCGCCTCCAGCGAACCCGTTGTTTCATTAATGCCGTTTTTTCCATCAATCGCTCGCACTTGCTCATCGAGATGTCAAACCGGGTCAACAAAGATAAAAATAAACTAAGAAGCATAAGCACAAACAGAGCAGCTACTAATGTGATAGGGAAAGACACACAAGAAGCTGGCCTGGAACCATGAAGACAGCTCAAGCTCAAGCCATAAGCATAAAAATATTTTCGGCAGGAACTTTGAACCCTTAGGGCCTCAAGGACAGATTCGTGAATTGCGACTCTAAATCTCTACTCTTCGAACGCTGGTGGCTAGATGATCCTTGCTTTTTGGTCTGCTGTTGCTGCTGCGGCTCATGCTGCTGTTGTAGCTGGTATAAAGCCCGTAGCCTTACAATCTCTTTCTCCAATACATCATGTTCTACTGAAAAAAGAAACCCAAGATTAAGTTAACATCTCACTGTATACAATTTACATACTCAGGGAAACTAGAAGGCATCATTGATCTACTCCATGCTTAGAAGCTTGAAATAAGTTTTTTGGTTATGATGTGATAGTGTTATTATTTTATCCAAGAATTGATATCATAAAAGTAGACATCTTATCTTCAAAGTGATACGAAATTATGAGGGAAAGGTTTTGGGGTTCTGGTAAGTGCCTGAAAAACTTACAGTACTTTATAAGCTGCTCTTGTGCTAAGCTTTCCAACCGATTCTTAAGAGATTTGTTCTCCAAGCTGAGAATTAGATTCTGTTGATTGAGAAACTCAAGCTCCGCCGACACTTCAGAACCCTCTACCTGTAACATCTGAACGTTCCTTTCCAGCTCAGCTATGTACTGAATTTTACGGACTCGAGAGCGTTGGGCAAACTGCCTGCAAAAGAAAATCATCTGGTTTGATTAAACAGAGTAAAGTTACAACTGACCTAAGGGTGTTCCTTATTCCTATATGCATGTCAGCCTGATGTTTAACGCAAAAGTATAGAGAAGATATGAAAACACAGGGTGCAAGAGTTCACTTAATCAGCCAGCCTAATAATATGCTACTAATAACCTACCATCAAATGAATCATATAAATTTCTTTAGCAGAAAACAACCCAAGACAAACTAAAGTATCAAAATAGACCACGTACTGTCTAGCACGTTTCGTATCAGCCTCGGAGGTAACAGACTTAGCCAGAGAATTATCCCTTTTTTCGGAAGACGACTTTGAGAAATTGTTTATGAAATCTTTCTTGCCGTCAGCAGCACAATAAGCCTTCTCTGCATCATGTAGGCTACCAGATGACCCTGATCTTGTGATAGGGCTGCTCTCCAAACAACCAGAACTACTGTTTGGGCGGGCACCGGAATCTGATAATGAATCCCATGTTCTCATTTTCTGTTTGGGCAAATGAGCTGAAGGGTAGAAGGGGACGGGCTGGCTTCTCAGGTAATCAGACTCCTTGGGACCTCTGGCGTGAGCAGAGAAACTGCTATTGTTATTATATCTACCACCATCCCAAAGTGTGTAATCCACATCAAAACCAACAGGGACATCTACATATGCAAATGAATCACTTGATGACCGTCGATGACCTCCTTTCCGTACAGGTGTCTCGGGTTCGTTGAGAAGGTCGTCAAGCCAAGAAGGCTGTTCCTCAATCAGAAAACTCTCAGATGAAGTTCGATGATGATTGACATTTCCTTCTCCAAGCTTCTGAACAGCCTTGGATCCAATCACACTACTTGGAACAAAATCTGAACAAAACGTTGGACCACCCGTAAACGGACTTTTTGGAGGAAGTAAAGCCTGCTTCCCAGTGCATCCCAGATTTCTAAGATTCTGAGACCCCTTGGAACTTGCCATCTGCCCAACATAAACACAAACTCAGACAAAACAGGTAGGGATTAAATAAAAGTTGTACCTAACAGAGAGCAATAGATGAAGTTGGCCTAAGCAAGTAATCTAGTACCTAAAAATGTGCTCCTTAAGCTATCAAAACATTGCTTGAAATGGTAAAGATAGTTCTTTTACATAAACACACATAAGATGCAAGTCCTAATCCACCAAATGTGAATGATTTAACAGAATTTTCACTATGAATCAATAGAAATTAGATAGATAAATCTGCCCTAATTACAACATTTTCATCAACAAGGAAAATAGCAAATGCAAAAAGCCCTAAAAATCACAAATCAGTTTTTAAAAAGTCTTACCTCTCTATGAATAATAAATCGAGAAGGAGACGAGATCTGCAAAATCGAAACGACGAATGAGGAAGAGCAGATAGATTGTTGTCTTCTTCTTCTTGTATGAATGAATGAATCTGTCAAATTGTTTCTTTTTCTGGTGGCAGACGTTACAAGGCTAGCTGGATTGATGAGTAAAGGCCTAAAAATTAACGATGATTTTGTTTTATTTATTTATTTTATTTATTTTCCAGTTATGTTTTTTAGCTCCCTGTGTTCTCGCGCTGTCTTCAACTTGAGCGTAGGTTTGTCATCTGACTTTGTGAACAAGTTCTGTCCAAAATCCTTTTTTATCTCATGTTTTTATTAAATGAGAAATTTGTTGATGTTTGTAAATTTGTAATAGTATACATATATATCTTACAAATGCCTTACAAATATTTTACAAATATCTTATAGATAACTTGTAAAATCTTATGTGTATAAATTATACAACTTTATTTTACACAAATTTTTTTTTATAAAACCTTATAAATGTAGACAGAGTCTCCAAATAATAGTTATTTAAATGTATTAAAGACTAACAAGAAATTTATAAAGCACAAATTTAATATCATGTAATGAAAACTAGACATTACAATTTTTCATATTCAATTTTGTTTTATGACATACATCACAAATTTTCTATTTAATTTTCTCTTTTATACAAATAAACTTATATTTCTTCCATTTATATTTGATTTTGTAACAAACATCAAAATGTTTAAAATATTATTTAAGTTGAATCTATTTTTATTTTAATAAAAATAATTCACATGACATTATTTTCTAGAGTTATTTCATTAAAATAGAATGTGATACTTCAGATAGTGTTTATTTACATATTTGTGCATATAGCATAAATATAATAAATATATATTATATGTCGTAGTACTTTATATTTGTAGGACCTGAATATTGGCACACGAAAACACAATCTAATATTTGCAAAATAATTAACATAGAATAAGTAATGAAATATAACAATATCGAAAAGATGATTGAGGAACAAAGATTGACTCTGGTAAATAGAGTCGGGAACTTTGATGATCTCTCTCCTTAACTCAAAAATCACCCTGTAGTGTGACAGTTTGATGACGATTAGAGTCCTATGATTAAATTGTTTCTCCTTTTGATTCACAACACTCAAAATCAAAAGGTGATTGAACGCTAGTCTTGTGTTGTACTCTTAGACACAAACAAGAGAAGAAGAGAGAACAGAGGGATTTTGATCCTTCAATCGATGATTAGAATAAGAGACAATAACCATGATTTTACAGCATAATAGTTCACATCCCTGGCATTTAAGGGGAGAGTTGGATCTGGATTTCGTACCTCGAAATCCATTGGCGAAAACATTAAAGGACTTCATGTAATGGGCCCGGCCCGACGGCCCACAAGGAACCAAAGGAGATTCGATGATGATGATTGATTAAGTCAGCGGGGATCTCGGGAGAGGACCTTGTATCTAGGAAGAAGTTAGCGTGGATCTCGGAGGAGATGACCTAATTCGAGGACCTATATAAAGACGGAAAGAGACTTGTAGAAAGATCATCGCCTACTAGCCTACTAAGACCTAATACTCAAAAACACTTGTATTCTCATACTTTTCGTTGTATTCACTTAATTCACATCAGTAAAAATCCATTCGTTCGTAACAATTCAATTCTCAAAGTTTCATTTAAAGTCTAGCCCTCTTTGCCCATAAAAACTAAATACAAATCTCGAGTGTGGATTTCAGCACCCACATGGAGAATATCCAGCCTTGGTGATAAAGCCAAACATTGAACGTGAGAAATAAAGTGAAAATTTGGGAGTTATGGAAATTGAATCTCCAGTTCTCCACGTTGATTTGTTTTTTTTGGTAAAAGAACGGGAGAATTAATATGTGCTACCGTAACCTCTCGCGCCAATTCTTTCAAAAACAATACTCGATCCCGACAGTTGCGAATTGAGCCAAAGATATTACCACACCGCCATTTCTACCCCCACCACACACTCATGCAAACAACGTTGCCCAATTGCTCCCATAAACCTTGTTATCCTCTCTCAAGTTATCGTAAATCCATTCCAACAGGGAGCTTGCGAAAAACTTCCGCACGTTTTGCGGGGAGACAATTTTTTTCCAAATGCCCTCCATGGCTGGAAAACCCCGTATGACATGAATGATTGTCTAAAGACCACCTTTACATATCTGACATATTTTCGTGTCACACAAATGTCGTTGGTAACGTTCCGCATTAGTCATAATCACCTTTTTCGTAACTAACCAAAGAAAAACTCTCACTCTCTCCGGAGCCACAACCTTCCACACTCGCACAAAGAACCTCTCCATACTCTATCTTGGGAGATCGTTTCTGGTCAAGAATTCTGATAACATGGGATTTTCGCCCATATTTGCTATTATTTTCTTATGTTTTAGGGAGCATTTGGAGTTATTTCAGAACCAATAAGGTGTTATTCAAGTATTTATGGATTCAAGAAGGTTTTAAGAGTTTTTGAGCTTTAAAGACCAAAAGGCGATCAAAACCCGTTTCAAGACAGTTTCTATACGTCAGAAGTATGGCGTCCGATCGAGGTCTTCCCGATTACCAAATCAAGAGATTTGTGGCTATGGAAATCTAGAAGAGTCAAGATTTGCCTCAAAGTAGAATCAGAGATTTTCATCAAGCCATTCGGAAGTTATGACCAGAAGAGTGAAGACATATCCAGACCGGCCAGAAGCTATGCAACCGTTCCGGAGCTTCTAGGCCGCACCGGTCACAAGGCCCGAGCCCAGGCTGCATTCTACTCTCTACCCCGGTAACTAAGGCTTCTACTCTGTCCAGGAGTTCGAGTTTGCACTTAACCTAATCACGGGAAAAGATGCTTTTACCCCTAAACCTAATCCTTGGTCTCCGAAACCTATAAATACCCGGTGAAAACCCTAAACCTAGGTGTGCTTCTCCAACCCTTCACCGAGTTCGTCCCTGCCCTCACCGTGAGCTGCAGCCATCGTTCTAGAGCTTTGAAGACACCGAATCTCTCTCTCTCTCTTTTCTCTTGTTAACTCTAAGATCTACTAAGGTGAAGTCTTACCTCTTGTATTCTACATTCAAAGAAGTAATCTCTAAACCCTATTCAGTTCTTATTCATCTCTTTCTTATGAGTTTATCAAACCTTACTTTGATGATCTCTTTAACCATGCTAGAGTAGTTTTCTAGTTGGGTTTAAAGGGTTAATCAAAGGGGGGTCATGATCGATCGTCTAGGTGGCGATACTTAGAGTTTTGTTTGATCGTTTACACTGTATTCTTTCTAAGTAAGTTGTTTCTTAATGCATGTAGTTAGATTCATGTCCTAACTCGTGATCCCAAGTTTTTAAATTGCTCACAAGGTTGTTTAATACGCTAGACCTAGCTTACGAATGTGTATCGTGTTATAACAAGCACACACCACTTAGTTATAGGGCTTTATGGACTAGAATCGAACTTGATCTTATTGCATTGATATATGTGTCGTTCCCTGCATAGGTTGAGTAATGGAGTATAAGGATTTTAGCCGACTAATTCTATAACATAGGGTTAACCGAATCTTAGTGTTTCGTATGTCCGAGACTTGGAAGTAAACAAACCTAATTCTAGTATTTCTTAGATAACGATCATTGAACCCCCTGTGATCCCCTTGATGTCCTGATAATAGATTTTTAAGATCAATTAAACCTAAAACACTATCGTGTCGTTGTAGTATTTTAGGGTGTCAATCCAATCTAGTGTGATGCAAACAGATGAGATGTGATCAGAATTTGCTAAGTCAAGCCAAGCAGAGAGCTGTTGTTTTCTAATAATCCTAATGCGAAATAACAGAAATATAATGAAACTGCAATGTAAACTAGCAATAGCAGGCAGTTGAATAACAAAGCAGGTAAGATAGCAGGCAATCAAATGGATGAGAGATTCCTAAGGACAGGGTAATCGAATAGCGTGGTCTCCTTAATCTATTTAGACGGTTGACAAAACTTCACAGAAGCTATCCCTTGACAACAAGTTCAAAAGCAAATCAATTCACCACCGTGATAGAAATTCTCAAGCAGAGCTAGACACAGACCTAATCACCATTAGCGATCTCTAACTAAGCAGGCAATACCGAATCAACTTGTTAAAGCCAATACCCGCTCTAAACGGCCAATACCTTGGGATAGAGGCGAGTATCTCTGGAATTAGTGGATCAGACATTCCATCAAACACCTTTTGGGTGCGGGAATGTCTGGATTCATTTTCCAGTTGATCAGAAAGGAACAAGCAATAAGCGCAACTAATCCAGAAGGGATTCAAACAATCTAAACTCAACCATCTAAATCGACTAAGACAACCACGACTACTCTATCCCATCCTCAGAAATACAATTCACTACTCAGACATAATCAAAAACAATAGCAATGAAACGATTGAAAACTTGATAACAGGAAATGATAAAGACTGAAACAAAAACTGAATTATAAAATACCTGAAAGCGAATACAAAGTCGCAGGAAGAACACACTGCGGCTATGAAAACAAGTCTAGGTAAAAACTGAAAATAAAAACTGGATGCCCTAGGGAAAACCCTTAGAGGCTGCTTATATAAGCGAAAAAAAGTTAAATAAGGAAAGTTCGGGATAGTGGTCTTCACAACGAGACTTTGCGATCAAGCATCTGATGGGCTGAAGTGGGCTTCCCTGTGATCGAGTGAAACTGATCAAACTGGGCTTCGGGAACTCCGTCTTGCGATCGAGTGGTCTGTAGTGAAGACGAGATGGAATGGTCCAGCGACCTTGCGATCGAGTGGTGCGATCGAGTAGATGACGTGAGGTGGTGATCGAGTGGTTTCTTCAGCTTCTCTTCTCTTCCGTATGCTCAGCTTGTCTGGTTGAGTGAGGAATGAGTAGATGGGCTTCTGGTGATCGAGTGGTGTAGAGTAGGTGATCCCTCCTGGCTTGCGATCGAGTGATATGTCCTTCATGACAGCTTCTGCTCGATCTTGCGATCGAGTGGTTTCTTCTGAAATTGCTCCGGGGTTGTGATCGAGTGGTTTTGCCCTTCATGACAGTTTCTGGGGTTGTGATCGAGTGCTTTGCTCTGTCAGGGCTCCGAGGTTGCGATCGAGTGCTTTGGCTGAGGGAGTGATTGAGCGTTCTGAATTTCTGTTCTGTTTCTCCTCTGTTTGAACTCCAAAAGCATCCAAAGTACCTGAAAACAACCAAATATGCGAAGCACATGCAATCCTAATGCAAAAACGTCCTAAATATGCAAAACACACTAAAACGACTACTAATGAGATGAAATGTGATTGAAACAATGACAAAGTGATGAAGAATGAATGCTTAAATCATGCAAATTATAGACATATCATGCCCAACGTTTGTCTCTTATTGATTACTTGCTTTCTTTAATCGCTTTTTACTTTTCTTTCTTATTGCTTTCATTTACTTTTACTTGCAACCGTGACACCAACCAACAACCCCTCTTTTATTGTTTTGTCCTAGCTTTACTTTGTCTAACAGGTTCGTCCGAACTACTTCTCTCTCTGTGGAATTCGATCCTTAAATACTACAACCGATTCACTGTGGACTTGCAGTAGTCGTGTGGTCTTTTGAGGTAAAAGATTGAAGCGAAAAACCATCACGCATCAAATGCATATACTGATCTCACTGTGAAACCTCCATCTGAGAATTCCCCCCCCCCCAAGACAGCGTATCTTTCGCCCTTGTAACATTATCCAAGACAACTGAAAGCAACTACAACTTTATTGTGTCCAATAAATAAGGTACGATCCTCATTCTCAGCCTTGAATTCGTCTTAGTGTGTCATATCTAAGGATTTCAAGGTTTGGTAAATCAAGAGTCTTCTGCAGTTCTTGTCCGACCATTCACTCCACCATCTTTGTTCTTTGTGGCTTCATCGTCCGTTGAACCTAAGGAATATCTTTTCACCACCTTAGAGTGCCAACTCCTTGGAAGATTCTCATCTTTTGGTATCAGAGCACCACTCTAAGTTTGGTTTCTATAACACTATCATCTTCTTATCTTTTTATTTTCTATCATACATCTTCTCTTCTTTCATTTTCTTTCACATCATCTTTTATCCTTCGTCTTCTTTTCTTCTATTTCATTTCATCTCTTTATTTTTGTCAAAAAAAGAAGAAAAAAAAAAGAAGAAGAATATCGGGAATTGAGGACAAGTCTTTTTTCAAGATGGAGAGTATGATATGATAATGGGAAGCAGCAGGACATGTGTTCATTGTTAGAAGCGTATCTTATCAATGGCAAGGAATCAATTCACGATACCACTTGGAGAATGTGCTCAGCTCAATTACGGAACTTTCGAAAGAAGAATCAAATCAAAAGGACAAAAAAATGAGGGAGTTATTCAATTTACAAATCAGATGTTCTCCATTTTACCCGATTCAAACCTGCGCGCATTCAATCCAGAATTTCGACCAGACCAGAATGAATTAAGCTACAAACCGAATTGTTCTATAATCTTGGTCCATGAGAGAAGCCCAACTAAGTGGATTCAGCCCAAACACAATCAAGGAAGATCAATTTTCGTCTATAGCAAAGACTGCATTTAATTCTGTTGATTTCTCTCTCTTACATGCACTTTAGAGTTTGAATTTCTTTTCCCTAGATGCTCTCCATGTTAAGCTATTGGTATGAACGTTTTGTTGTAATTCCTCGATATAATGAGGTTCATTTCATAAATAAAGAATAAGCTTTTCTGATATTTTTGGAATCTTTGACAGTGAGTTTTCATTTTTCGTCAATGGTGTGTAATATCCATTGGTTTGGTTAATGGTGTGTCATATCCATTGATCTATACTAGATCTGTCTTGGTGCGTCATATCCAGGGGGTCTTGTCGAGAGTGATTCTCATTCTCAACCTTGAATTCGTCTTAGTGTGTCATATCTAAGGAATTCAAGGTTTGGTAAATCAACAGTCTTTTGCAGCTCTTATGGGACCATTCACTCCACCATCCTTGTTCTTTGTGGGTTCATCGTCCGTTGAACCTAAGGAGTATCTTTTCACCACCTTAGAGTGCCGACTCCTTGGGAGATTCTCATCCATTGGTAATCTTCACCAATCGTTTCTTGAGGAGATATATGAAGTAACATAATATATCATGGATTTTACTGTTTTTAGTCATGATATATGTGTCAGTTTTAGAGTCTTTTTGTTGTTTCTAGAGTCTTTTCTAGTCTTTTTAGGTTTTTATACGTTTGGGACAAATTTAGAGATAAGAAACCATTCTGGAGCTAAACCGGAGATTAAGAACTGAAGAAACGATTTCTGTGTCAGACCAAAACATGAGTGTAGACCGACACCCCCTGGTGTCGATCGACACCACACGCGGCCCAGCAACAGTCTCGACATTTAAGAGTTTTAAAGCCCGAAGAATCAACCTAGAAGACTTTCCTATTTGCAAATTTAGTCCCTGCACGTTTTTGGAGACAATATAAATAGTTTTTAGGGTTTTCATTATTCATTACCAATCTTTCTTCTGCAATTTGCTTTGCAATTCTTTGAGCTTGAACCCTTTGGAAGATAATTGGAAAGAACTACTTTCAGAGATTTCAAATCCCTATAGAGAGAAGATTTATTCTAAACAATTTTCTTCTTTTGATTTCTTTTATGCAATCTTATTCAAACATGTTTTCTGTTTCAGTAATCATGTCTGAGTAATTTCCCTGTTAGGTTTAGGGATTCTCATTAGGGACTTAGATGAATTAGTAGATCGATTACCTGTTAAGATTAATCTCTAGAGTTCTTCACCTTAGGTTGTGCTTAATGCTAGTTCTAGAGTAGCTAACTAGAAGTTAATCATAGGATAATAGGTTTGATCCGAGAGGGCGCCTGTTACTGAAACTATCTTAGGTGGGCAGAAATTATTAGAGTCATACGAGAGTTGGTTTAGGAATATCTGTGAACATATAAAACCTGTTATTAAAGCTAGTGTAATTTTAGGAGTTTACATACGAGAGTTAGAAATTCCTGATATTAGGTTTAGTTAGTCAATGCGAGCAAGAGCTGATTGGCTATAGATTTGTGATTTGAGTTCTAGATCGGTTCGATAAATAATCTTAATTAATTTGCTAGATTTACTATTTATTTATTTCCTACGAATTTCCCTAAACCTGACGTTTTAATCTATTTGATCTTTCACCTGATTTAATTGCTTTGTTTTATTTTAATTTACTTAATATTTTATTTTGCATAATTTCGAGACTGTTAGCTTATTATGTGAACAAAAGAACTTTATAGAATTTGACCCTAAAGTGTTGCAATTGAGTTCTCTTATTTTGAGAGATTAGTCTTAGGAATAATTTGACTCACACCAAATTTGGCGCCTTTGTCGAAGTTCTTGGAAATCACCATTAAGTTTTGTTTAGAAATTTTGTCTAAATTTTTCTTCTATTTTGATACTTACACGTTTCTTTCTTTTATTTTTCTTGTGTTGCAAGTGCATGCCTAAACGCATAACTCGAAGCAGCAGAGAAAAGGAACTCGTCAATTTGTCTACACATGAATTGGCAAAGTTAAAACACACCAACCGAAAAGCTCAAAGATCATCAACAATGGTTTTTGGAGAAATTAGAGCTGATGAACAGGGAGTTTTGAGAGATGATTATGGACAAACCTACAATGAGGCTGGACAGAGATTGGATGATCACGGGATCGTCATACCATCGGATTCGATGGTAGATGATCCGAACGCCCAGCTTGCTGCTCCACACAACGCTGTAGCTGGAAACGTCATTGGTGTCGACCGACACCCTGATTGTAGATGATCCGAATGCCGAACTTGCTACTCCACACAACGCAGTAGTTGGAAAGATCATTGGTGTCGACCAATACCACCAGGGTGTTGCTCGACACCAACTACCAGCAGACGTGCAAAACAGAGATTGCTAGCAGGGCTCTACAAGAAAACAGGCAGATAACGACTACCATATTAGTAGCAGAATAGTCGGTAAAATGACTTTAACGACTATTTGGCGACTAAATCTTGTAGTTGTAAAGGCGACTAATTTACGACTATTGTAGCCAACGAGAAGTTAGTCGTAAGGTAGACGTCAAATAGTCGTAATAATAGATGACTGAGTTACGACTAAATTACGATTAACTCAGTTGATCATATGGTCTTCTAAAGATAGACATTAAATAGTCGCCAAATCTTTTGTGTCTATTTAACGACTAATCAGTGACTAATATTGTAGCTATAAATCATAGTCACTTCGTAGTCGCCAAATTGTTAATGACTCTTTGATGTCTAATTAGCGACTATGTTTGTAGCTCTTATTTTTAGTTAGTGTGCAGTCGTTAAAAATGGCGACTAATCCGTGACAATATGGTGACCATATATACGACTAATTTGGTGACTACAGTTCTTTTCGATTTAAAATATGGTACGTTTGTAGTTGCTATTATACGACTACAGGCTAATAATCAATGAAACCAAAACTGAAACTAAAACCAAATCCAAAAATATTAACAAAACCACAATTAAGCTGAAACTAAAACCATTCAAACCCAACCAAAACAACATTAAGTTTTTGTTCCATAGAGCTACAGAAAGTCAGAAACATAAGGCATAAAGTTTAAGTTCAGAAAAGAGAGGCATAGAGTTTAAGTTCTGAAAAGAGAGGCGTAGAGTTTAAGTTCAGAAAAGAGTTAAGACGTCTCAACCTATAAAGCAGATGGAGATGGAGTTGTAGTTGTATCATCAAGGGGAAGAGTTGTTGAGAGAGGGTCTGAGGTTGGCTCTTTAGCAGACTGACTTGCCATGAAGTCGAGGAAGTGCCGATCTGTTTGACGTAGATACTTCTCCACCAGAGACAACTACTCGAGCCTGTCCTTCTGCTCAGCCACAGCCCGAGATTGCTCAGCCTCACGCGCTGCCTGCTCTTCTATCTTGCGTTGAGCTTCCTTCAATTGTTCTTGCAGAGACACAAAAGAAGAAGATGAATCGGGTTGCTTGCGCTTGCCATTGACCAGACAGTCTTTGAGGTTTCCAACTCCATAAAAATTTCCACTTGAATCCCTATCAGTAGACTGCAAAGTCAGGGAAAGCCAGAGATTAGAGCATGATACAAAAGAGAATCATAGAATATAGAGAGAGTGTTTTGGGAAAAAATGAATCATAACCTTAAGGAAGATGGCTGTATATTCTTCGGTTGTTAGCTCCCGTGGTCGTGAAGCACCATCAGAAACAGCAGAAGTATCACCCGCAACCTCAGCCTCAGCATCGAGCTCAGACAACTTCTCTTGAACATTCTGGTGATATGTTTTAGCAATCTTCTCCGCCTTCCGATCAACATAAGTACCATCAGGCCTTATATGTGTCTTGATGAATACCTCACCAAGACTGACCGGTCTTCCCAATTCCTCCTCCTGCAACAAGGATTAATAACATTAAAAACAGATATGTCAGTTTTAAAAGGACAGTGAAGTTGTAACAAGAAGAAAGAACATAACTATTAAAGTAACTGACCAATTCATCTTTTACTTATTGAAATGACTTTGGACATGAGAAGTGGATGTGAGGCCCGAGACCGTTACAGTCAGACATACGGACATTTGAATAGGTCTGACTCCTTGCCTTTGCTTCTTCAGTGTCCCAGTAATCAGTCATTGTTTTCCAGAGAGTGGTTCCAATCCACTCAGGTCGCTCTCGACCTGTCCTCGTATCGCTGACCATGTCCTTCATTCTCCGTTGATAGATTTCCTCGAAATGTTGTTGCATAGTCCCTGTTATCAAGGGATCCCAGGTGTGGGTTTTCTACCAAAAAAAGAAAGAGCTAATGTGAGTGAAAAAAAACAAGTAAACATAAATAGAAAGGCTAAAGGACAAATAACTGTACCACGAACTCGAGGAAGTATCTCTCTTGTTTGTCCCGAGGCACACAGGTCCAGCTGTAGAAGGGAACATCGAATTTGTTCTTATTCACCTTAGTAATCTTCCGAACCAGTTTTGATCCTTTGTCGCGATCAAACCTCCAAATACATGAAACAATAAACAAGAAAGGAGGTTATAATAGGCGGAGACACTTAAAAAGAAGAAAGAAGGAGATAATAGAAAGCAAAACAGATACTGTGACTACAAACTCTCATCATAACTCAACATCAAAGACCAATCCACCTATATTGGACAGGGCCTCCCAATTCTGCTTCGTAGGGGAGAGATGTATAGGTAGGTGCTCCATAACATCAAAAAATGATGGTGGAAAGATCTTTTCTAAGTTGCAAATGATTAGAACAATGTTCTGTTTCAGAATTTGAACGCGACTTTTTTGCAAAGTTCTTGAACATAAGTCCCTAAAAAATGCTCCAACCCCTGCAAAACATGTTCAAACTTATAAGTGTTATATCTATATAAAGTATTATCATATTTACATGTCATATATATATAATAAGTAATTAGTACCTGATAATGCAAGGTGAACGTTCTGGTCTAGGAGTTCAACAAAGATAAATGGAAGTAGCCATTCCATAAACACATGGCAGTCATGACTCTTCATGCCTGAAAACTTGCCATTCTCCATATCAACACAACTAGCCAAATCTGACGAATAACCATCTGGAAATTTAACCGCATGTTTCACACATTCCAATAAACTCGTTTTGGCTGCTTCTGTCAATACATATGCAGGGAATGGAGCTTTACCTTTACTATCAATATGTAAGTCTGGCCGAGAACAAAATTGTTCTATATCCAATCTTGACATGATGTTGTCTTTTGATTTACCCTACACACTCATAAGAGTATTCATGATGTTGTCCAAGAAATTCTTCTCTGTATGCATCACATCAATATATTGTCTGAGATTTAGGTCCTTCCAGTAAGGTAGCTCCCATAATATGCTTTCTTTGTGCCAGTTATGCTCCTTCCCATAGCCTGGCATCTTCTTTTCATGACCGTTACCACCAACCTCGGTTTTTGGTGGATTTACTTCCTTCAACCGTTCATAATAAACATGCTCACCTGTCAATGACTCAGGTGGATACTCTCTAGAAGCGTCTCTTCCTTTTAAGAAGTCTTTTTTGTTCCTTCATAGTGGATGACCATGAAGAAGAAATCTTCGGTGACAATCAAACCAACATGTCTTCCTTCCATTAGGTAAATAAAAAGACTTCGTACTATCCATGCAAGTCGGACAAGAGAGTTTACCATGTGTGGTCCATCTTGATAACATGTTATACACCGGAAAATCACTTATCGTCCACAGTAGCACTGCTTTTAGATTGAAATTTTGATTCAATGACACATCGTATGCATCAACTCCAGTAGACCACAACTCTTTTAACTCTTCAATAAGAGGTTGGAGAAAGACATCCAGACTAGATCGCGGATGATTTGGCCCAGAATTCAGAATTGTAAGAAACAAGTACTCTGTATTCATGCACATACCCGGGGGGGGGGGGTAAATTATATGGAGTCAGGATCACAGGCCACAACGAATGATTACGAGACATGCCAAATGGATTGAACCCATCGGTACATAATCCAAGATAAACGTTACAGGGTTCTTCTGCAAACCGGGGATTTTGCTCTTGGAATATCTCCACTCCGCCGCATCTGAAGGATGAAACATTTCTCCATCCTTTGATTGGTGCTCGGCATGCCATCGCATTGCCGCTGCTGTCTTCTGGCTCTGATACATTCTTTTTAATCGGTCACCAATAGGTAGATACCACATCCGACTATATGGTACCTTGGTTCTTCGACGATCATCCTTAGGCTTCCATCTTTGTGAACCACAAAACCGACATTGATCTTCCTTTTCGTCTTCTTTCCAGAAAAGCATACAATTGTTAACACAAACATCAATTGTATGATACGGAAGGCCTAAATTGCGCATCAATTTTTTGGTCTGGTAATGTGAACCTGTTGCCTGGTTTCCTTCTGGTAAAAAATCTGTAAACATTTCGCAAACTGAATCCACACACTTTTCACTCATATTATACTCCAACTTATTTTGCATCATCCGAGCAGCTAAGGATAACTGCGACTGACCTTCACGACAACCATCGTATAATGGATTTTTTGCACCTTCAAACAAGTCGTAGAATTTCTTTGAATGGTTACGTACCAGTTCTTCCACATTCTGATGATAGACGTTATAATCAAACCCCACGTTAAATGCATCGTTCACCATATCCACATATGGAACTTCTACAACATAATTACCCACATCTTTCTGATTCCTATCATCATACGTCCTATCATTATAACTCGTTCCTATATCCATATTGATCTCTTCTCCATGCTTATACCAAACATAATAATCAGGCATAAATCCATGAGTAAACAAATGACTCATAACTCTTCTACCGGAAAGAATATATTTTTCGTTCTTGCACACACTACAAGGACAGTGAAATTGACCCCGATTACTCTGGACTATTGGTTGGCTATTAGCAAACATCATGAATTCTTCAACTCCTGCTTCAAATTCAGCCGTAAAATTTCCCGTCGCTTCATCGAACCTCTTGTACATCCACTCCCGATAAAACCTGCTATTACCGCCATAATTGTAATTTTCCGCCATTATTAAAAAAAAAATTATTATTTTTTTTTTCTGAATCTTTTTTTTTCAGTCACTCTTTCTTTTTTCTTCTCCTGAATGTTTTTTTTTTGTTTTTTTTTTGGTTGCTCGCACAATGAAGAGAAGAGTTGCAGAATTTTCTTTATATAGGCATTTTCACAGTGACTAAAAAACGACTACAAGCCGTAGTCGCCATAAAAGTAGATACACCTACCACCCAACAAAAAAAACGTGCGTATATAAATGTTTTTTTGAGACTAATTAGCGACTACCTTACGACCCGCCGAATGAGTCACTAATTAGTCGCTAATTTGGTGACTAAACATCTCGGTCGTTAACGTAGTCGCTAATTTGGCGACTATTTTGCGACAGCAACATAGTCGCTAACAACTTAGTCGCCTCATAGTCGTTGTTTAACGACTAAAAGTACGACTATTGATTTTGGTCGGGTTTTAACGACTAATCGACGACTATATTAGTTTAGTCGTAACGTAGTCGTAAATTAGTGCCAATACAGTCGCTAAAAATGACGACTATATACATAGTCTCGGTATCTGCCTGTTTTCTTGTAGTAACAACCACCTGTTGTGGTAGAACGTCAGCTGACTCTTGGGGATTACAACAGGTCTAATCGATCAGTGATCGTGCCTTTCCCATTCCAGAGAAACGACTTTGAGGTGAAGAACGCCTACTTCACTCTTGTGGGGCATCATCCTTTCCATGGCTTATCTCATGAACAGCCAATGGACCATATCGAGCGCTTTGAGGATTTGGTATCTAGCATCAAGGCTAATGCAATTTCAGATGACTACCCATACTCACTTGCTAGGGAAGCAGCTTCTTGGCTGAAACTGTCGAAGGTAGGATCTTTGACTAGCTGGAGGAAAATTAAGGTAGCATTTCTGAACAACTTCTACGATGATGGCAAGTCTGAGGAGCTGCGCAACAAGCTGTCTACATTCACTCAAGGACCAGCAGAAACATTCGAAGCTGCTTGGGTCAGATTCAAGGAGTACCAATGCGATTGCTTGCATCAAAGTTTTAGTGAGGTCCAGCTTATCGGTACATTCTTCAGAGGAGTTGATTGGAGATATCAAATGGTTCTAGATATTACGAGCAATGGTAACTTCAACACCAGGTACTATGCAGATGTTGTAGCTTTGATTGAGAATCTCGCCTGTAGCAACAACACGAAGAACGCAGATGTCGAGAGGAAGAAGATAGCAGGAGCGATTACGGGTAGTCAGTTTGCAGAGGTCAATGCCAAGTTGGATTCAGTTCACAGCCTCCTCACGGGTAAGAAAGCTGTTCATTTTGATGCAGAGGTTGAGACTATTTAGCCAGAAAAAGAGTCAAAGGAAGGAGTACCCTACATTGATGACAAGGGATATCTGAAATGTGGTACTCCACAGGGTAACTTCAGTGGTCAGTGGTTCACAGGAAACTAGAACAACTCCGGTTTCAACAACAGGCCAGCATTTCAGAAGACATATCCGTAGTGTAGTAGCTTCCATCGAACCTACGAGAACACAACCTACCAAAACTAACATGCACCCACTCCTAAGAGTAAGATAGAGACGATGCTTGAGAAGTTTCTAGAGGGTCAGATGAAACTTACGGTTGAGTTCAACGGTAAGTTTGATGCCATCTATTCTGAGTTGAATGGCAAGATTAACACTTTGAAAAATCACATGAAGAAGCTCGATGTTCAAGTTGCTTAAATTGTCGTGACTCTTAAGAGACAAGATGGTGTTCTTCCTGTCATGCCTGATACCTGGTCCGAGATGGAGAAAACGTTTGGGAAGAATTAGATACTGAAGACGAGCTTGAGCTTGCTGCTTGATATGTCTATAATTTACCTGTTTTAAGCATTCATTTGTCATCACTTTAGCATCAATTTCATCATTGTTTTATATTATTCTTCATCATTTGTTCACACTTTGCATGTTTAGGATAGTTTTGCATACATTTTGCATTATGGAGTTGTTTTCAGGTGATTTGGAGCTGTTGGTGAGCAGATTGGGAGAAGCAAAGTGGAATCAAGAATCATACTAGACCAACTTGGTCGAGTAATTGAGCAAGCAGTCTCCCTCAGACACTCGACCACGACTTTAGCAGCACCACTCGACCACGACTTTAGCAGCACCACTCAACCACGACTTCAGCAGCACACTTGACCGCGACTTCAGCAGCATACTCGACCTAGTACTCGACCAACATGGTCGAGTACCCTCAGCCATCCCGCTCTCAGACTACTCGACCAAGTACTCGACCTAGCAGCTTTAGAGTCTTCTCAAATCCGCACTCAACCAGATAATTTGAGCACAAGGAAGAGAAGAGGATTAAGCAATCATCTGAGTACCACTCGATCAAGACCACTCGACCACATCACGACCAGAGCAAGAATTCGCAAAGGCACCAGCTTTACTCGATCCCTTTACTAGATCACATGGGTCGAGTGTCTCCTTAAACCGCCTTAGTATTTTGTCGTTTTGTGTTTTAGGGTTTCCTAGTATTTACTATAAATAGGTTGTTTCTCTTTGTCCAGAGGTTTAAGCTGTAATCCGCTTAACACTTAGTTTTTCCAGAAATTTGTAATCCAAATTACTCTTAATCTATTCAGTATTTGCTTTTCATTTCTTCTTTGAAGTTGTTTATCTTGTTGATCTTTGAGTTATGAAGTTTTTAGAGATTTCTGGGATTGTGTTCTTGTTCATGAATTTTGAGTAGTGATTAGGGTTCTTAAGGATGGGTTAGAGTAGTTTAGGATCCTTAATCTGCCAGGTGGTTAAGTTTGATTGGTAGATCCCTTCTGGATTAGTTGTTTATAATGCTAATTGCTTTCTGATTAACTGGAATGTGAGCCCAGGTATTTCCGCACCCACAAGGTGTTCGATGAAATGCTTGAACCACTAATTCCAGAGATTCGTGTCTCTGTACCAGGGTGTTGGTTACAGAGAGCATTTTGGCTTTAACTTGTTGATTCGTAATGCCTCTTAGGTTAGCTTTCGTCAATGGTGATTGCATCTGGAACTAGCTTAGCTTGAGGATATCTGTTGCGGTAGCACTTTGATTTGGTGTTGAACTTGTTGTCTAGGGATAGTTTGTTGAGCATCTTAACAACCTGATTGGTTAAGGAGACTTGGCTACTCGATTACTCCATCCTTAGGAATTTCTCTTCCATTTGATTTCTCTGCTTTCATTACGGTTTTTGCTTGTTCTTATCGCTTGTTGCTAAGTTTTTGCATTTCTCACCTGTTTTCACTTGTATACTCGACCACACCAAGTGTGTGGCAACAGACTGTGCAGTCGAGTATAGCTGTTGCATTTTCTGTCTGTTTTTCATCCTATTACTCTACCACACCCAGTGCCTGGCAAGTGCGCAGTGTTGGTCTAGTGTTTTGTGTTTTCTGCAAGTTTTTCTATTTTATACATGTACACATAGGACTGTTAGAGAATCCAAAACCTGTTTATGCTTGGCTTGACTCTGTGAATTCTGATTGCATCTTGATTGTTAGCATCTCACCCAATTGGATTGACACCTTAAAATACTGCAATGACATGATAGTGCTTTAAGGATAATTGATCTTAGATAAAATCCTACTATCACTGCTGCAGAGCCAGTGTAGACCGACACCCAATCGTTTCCCTTTGCGTGGATCTTCCGAACTCTTTCTTGTTAACTCCGAACTCCTGCGTCTTGACGCTGCCGTGAACCTCAAACAATATTCTCCTCGCTTCGGCCTTCTTTTATGCGAACTATATGTTGAATAAGAGCGAACTCCGTACTGGTAAAGATCGAGCTCTTTAATAAACTGAATCAAACTTCCGACAGGTCGAGCTCGATTCTCGCAATAAAACATCTAGAAATCCAAGAGGACTATTATGTAATAATGACGTGGATAGATCCAAGTGGATCCTACCGAAGATGTGTAGGATCCGACCCCAACAAATGCTTGAATTGATTAAGGCAGAAGCCAGGTTGAGATGTGAAGGAGATGGCTAATGTTTTTAAGTAGAGATCAGTCAACCTTGCATTCTAGAATTAGCAACCTGGACATTGAATTCACTTACTCTATCTGCATGTTTCGGTTCTGAGTCTCCACCTTCAAACCTCTTCTCCAGCTTAGTTCTATTTATTTGCTTGAGGGCAAGCAAGAGGCAAGTTTGGGGGAGTTGATATCTCTGTATTTTACCTCCTTTTAGCATACATTTCTTATGCATTTAGCTTAGTTTCCTCTCTATTTCATTGCATTCATAGTCTTTCTCCTGCTCTTTTCATCACTTAGTACTATTTGCATTGCATGACATAGCATATTGCATATTGGATGTGTTTCAGGTACTTTGGAGCTTATTTGAAACTTAATGGAACAAGGAGGAGCTAACTCAATGTTGGAGCTCGACTTGAAGTCGAGTTAGAAGGAATGAAGCCATTCAAGAGGATCCAGAACCGGACTCGATCAGCCAGATTTGACTCCATGTCGAGTAGGACGTTAGGAAGCTGTCTGGGAAGGAACTCGACCACATGGACTCGACTTGAGGTCGAGTAGGACAT